AATACCAAGACTGGAAACTAAAGGCAAGTGTCCTGATTGTGGAAAAACCCTTCAATCACCCTGCTCTCCTAAGGAGAATTTATGAAGGGAGACAAAAAGTTGATTTTTCGTTTGGAACTGAGAATACGGTGGCTCTAGTATCATTTGTTCAGCATTTAAGGATATTTACAACATGGAAATTATGTCAACTAACGTGGAAATTATGTCAACTTACTATCTCCTTGAAAATACTGCTCTCTTTCTATGTAATTTGTTAAGATTTGAGAAATTCTATTTGTTAAAATATGTGTTTAGGATAGAAAACCCACAAAGTCTTAGGTTCTTAGGAAGTAGCCCATGGATCAAAGACTTGGGAAAACAGTATCTAAAGTTGAGCTACCTAGAAATACACATGCTACCTAGGAATAGTCAGTAAACTAGAGAAATGCAGCCCTTCTTCACAGTTAAAAAAAAAAAGTACTCTCAGGACTCTAGCAATAGATATCACATAGACCTTTGAAATCCTGTATATTATGAATCCAACATGCCCCCGAAAGGCAGTCATTTGATAAAATGTACTCAGATGATGTGAATAAAATCTTGTGAACAGAAATTAAAACCTGAGTCAGACATGCCAGGAAAGAAATTCCCAGCTTTACCTTTAAAGTTGCTATAACTTACGTGATAAGATGGTATTACAATTGCTCATTTACAGGCCCCCTAAGATTCTGCGTCATCACTGTGCCGGAGGGCAGCAGCAACAGGCATAGACTGAAAACAAACCCCAACTCAGACCTCATACATATGGTCCCTTTAATGTAATAATCCCAGAAACATTAAAAAAAGAAAAAGGTATTTTCTTGTATCTTAAAGCTTTCCTTTTGGAAAAATGCTGATTCATTTTTAATTTTTGTGATGTTCCTATTGCTGGTTTCCAAGAGAATCCAGATGCTTTTAGTGAGGTAGGAGCTATTACATTGGAGGGAGCTGCCTGCATTTTAACACAACATACTCCATGCCTTGGATGAGTGAAGGCAGAATCATTGAATTGGAATTATAAAAATAGTTCCCCTATAGTAAATGTCAAGCATTAGACTAAAATTTTGATTCATCCCTGAAGAAAAAATACTCTTTCTCTGATTGGATTTCCAGTATGTGAATTACATTCTAAGAAAGACAGTAATTGTGATCTTAGTGGTTTTAGTCATATACATTTAATACAAATTGAGTGCAAAAAAAAAAGGAAAATATTTAGTCTGTACATTGAAAGCCTATCAACTGAAATCACTAAGTTAGAATATTATATGAAACTAAAAATTAAATAAAACAATCCAGAAAATTTAGTTGAGGCAGTTCAACAAGCTACATTTCTAATGGAAGTGTTCTGATATATTTGCTAGCAGGCAGTAAAGGAAGGCAAGCTTTTGAGATTAAAATTCTTTTAATCATGATTTTTTTTTAATCTTCAGTCATATCCGGGGTGAAAAGTAGAGCAGAGTCTTGTGGATTATGTGTTCATTCTATTTAAAAATTTTTCACCAACTAAAGTTAAATGAGGTAAAGGTTAAGCAAGAAGGAGAGAGGGGAGGGAAAAGGCATCACATTCCCTCAAATGTGGCCAGCAGCGAGGGCACTTAAAATTTTCAGTTTTTCCAGTGACTCATTTGCCAATAGGCATTTCATTTCCTAGGGTTTTTTTGGGTTGTTTTTTTTTTTTTTTTGCCTTTTTTAAACTTACCACTGAGTTAAGATTTCATTAGGTAATCTCAGCTTTACATCTTTACAAATTTAGAAAATAAAAAATGACTGAAAAAAGCAAAGCACAAAGCAACACAAAAATGGGATGTGTGTGTGTTTTACAGAAGAACTATATACGTTGGTTCCTAAATTTCTATGACATAAATATTAAAATGAGTAGCTGTCAATATTTTTAGTTAATAATAATAATCTGTTTTATTGTTATATACATATTACGCAGGTATGTAATTACATACATATTCCACTTCACAGGGAGGAGAAGCGAGAAGTGTAGTCTCCCTATTTTTTGCTAGAAACTTGGATATTTTGTAATTGAAAACTTTTAAATTCAAAAAGTTCAAGAATCACCATCACTGACAGCATCCAGCAGCACTAGGCCTCTCAAGCCTCTCCAGCAGAGGGCATGGAAGATTCAAGACAGAACCATCTTGTGGTTTTGCTGAGCAACACTGACAACTGCTGGGTTGTCACGGACAACAATTGCATTGTTTCTTCCTTCACCACAGAACGGAAAATGTTACACAGTCCCATTGACCTAAAAACCATTTTCAACAAGGAAAAAAAGGGGGAAGCCATCAAACATTGCTTTAACTGTATGGCAGCTCCTTTACAAAAAGTTTTCTCAGTGTGTAGTAGGTATTGGCCTTAATACTTAAAATTATCCATAGATATGGAAATGATCTTAATTTATCAATCACCCTCATAACAGTCAGGAAAACAGTATCAGTTGTCAGTCAGAAATGGTTTGTAGGGGGAAAAAAGCAAGTAATTATAAAAAATACTATGGCCCTCCCTGGTGGCGCAGCGGGTTAAAGCACAGCACTGAGAAGCTAAAGCCACTTCCGCATGAGTTCGATTCCCGCCTGCCCCGGAGGTGACCACATGGAGTGGCAGACCTCTCCTGACCCGCCCGCTGCTCCCCTCAGCAGTGTACTTCGTCGATCTGCCTGTTCTGCTCCCCACTCTGTCTCTGGTGAATCCTCTCATCCTCGGCATCTCTGGCCTGTACCCCAGTTCTGTATGCACAAATAAATAAATCTTTAAAAAAAAAAAAACTGAACTATCTAGAACTATCTAGAATAGTCTTTATTAAAACTAGTTAATTATAGGTTTAAATACATACCAACTTTTGTCATATGCTGAGAGAATTAAACTTTTCCTGGAGATCACAAAAATGTAAATGTCATTTTACCCAGTTTCCTTTTTATCCAGGTAGAGAGCATTCATTCTGCCTGAGTAAGTGTAGGGTACCATGAGCTTGATACTCTATAGATCTGTGCTATTATCTTCTTGTTTTACTGTACTTACACACTTAAAACTAATTAACTCTGGGTTTAGTAATTATATGTTTGAATGGTTATGCTCTCTGATATTTCCTCTTCCACACATAAGCAAATCAATAAACTTTTGTTTAGAATTTTAGAATTTACAAAGCCCTTTCACACAAGATTCACATAGTGAGGTTAGCAAGAACGACACATTACTCTTAACATAGATGAGAAACTGGGGCTCACGGTGTTGAGATAGGGCTGTTCCAGTAGTTACTTAGCATGTATTGCGTAAGCTGGCATTCTAAGCAGATCTCTGACAAGAGACCAGTTCTCTTCTCTTGTTACATCTTTGTCAGAGATGCTAACCTTTCCACAGAGTGAATCCTACCATCCAATGCTCTGACAAATATATTGAGGTTTATATTGGCAAGAAAAAGGATCCGCATATTGCACATACTAATAAATAAATATCCAATTAACAGGGAATAAAAAAAAAGATGTAGGAAATACTACGTAAAGTCCCTTTAAAGATAAGGAGTATATACTTGAGAAAATAATGTTTTAAGGCATTTATTACTGAAATCTAAATAACTTTTCTTTCCACAGCAGAGTGTACAGCTGTTATCTTTAATGTCAGATTTTACCCCTCGAATCAAACCTGGAGCTCCAACTACTGGTAGCTCACTCTACAAATATTTTAAACTCCTTCAAATATTCTTTTAATGATTCTTATGCAAAGTAGGGAGAACACATTGTTAATGAATGCCTTGCCACTTAATGCTTGATGGGAAAACCACACGATTATTCCACTGTATAGCCTGATAACATTATCTGAAAGCAAATTATTTGTAGTTGTGGTTATTTATTTCTCCTTATTAATCAAATCATTTAAAACTTGCTAAAGTAGACGTCATCTTTTGAAGAATTAAATAAACTTTTTCAAGCAGAATCTTAATTTATAATTTATACTCTCCCCCATCCATTTTGGCAATAATTAAGTGTTCTGGTAAACTCCAAGCCAACCCAAGATGACTCATAAGGAAAGTCGCCATCCCTGCTTAGTTAAACCAGGACGACATGGTGCATTATGGCTGAGGGGTTTCTTAGGGTTTCCTTATATTTCATCAGAAGAAAATCTGTGGCTTCTGTTCTGGAAAGAGAGGAACCCAAGAACTCAGGAGATAGAAACCCACAAGCCAGTCGCCTGTCTACTGGGGATCAATATGCACAGCCCAATAAAACACAGTCGTTAAATAGTCACTTTCTCCGTTTCCTTCCTGACTGCTGTTCATTCCCGAGTGCTCGAGAATGCCCAGGCAATCTGCAGAGCAGATCACACCGCCTGTGCCTGGGCCATCAGTGTTCTTTCTGGTCATCGTTTCCGTCCCATATTTAATGGCGTCGCAGAGAGGAACAGGCGAGGGTCTCCCTGTGGTCCCAGTTTTACAGAACAGGAAACGAAGCGTGAGACTAGGGTTCCAGCCAAGGTGGGAGAGGGTATCTTCTTAAATCACAATAGGACCAAGTCCTCTGGTTCGCAGCCAGTGCCTTTTCCCTGGGGGAGGGCTAAGACGCGGGCCGGTCACCTGGGGAACGCAAGCGAGGGGACAGAAGGGCGCGAGGGGAGCGCTAGGCAAGCCACCACCCCGCTTGCAGCTGATTTTGGCTCGGCCCCTCCGCTTGAGGCGCACTCAGTCCTCCGCAAAGGTCGCCAGCCACGCGCGCAATGACAGGCCTGGGTCTGTTCCCACACGGCCCCCGCCGAGGCCCTGTTTGGGCCAAGGGCACGCGAGCAGGGTCCGCAGACGTCAGCAGCCTCCCTCCGAGACCCTGCGCGGGCGCTCGTGACCGCCGCGGGCCAGCGCTCACCCCGCCCCGCGACACTGTCACCGTCCAATGGGCGCTCTCCGCCCGTGGGGCCGGCGCCGTGAGGCCCCGCCCCTTCACCGCCGCCTCCTATAAATACGGCCGCGCGAGCGAGCTCGCAAACAACGGCGTCCCCAGCGGGCATACTATAATGCAAAGTGCCATGTTCCTGGCTGTCCAGCACGACTGCGGATCCATGGATAAGAGCTCAGGCAACGGCCCCAAAAGCGAGGAGAAGCGGGAGAAAATGAAGCGGACCCTGTGAGTATGGCTTTCTTTGTACTTCATCCCCTGCATACCTAGCTGCTGGGTTTGCTGCAAACGCCATACCTTGGGTTTGGCTAGAACATCAGAAAACTATGTGGCTTGCGCCTCTGCAAAGGAGTGGGGAGTGTGCAAAAGGTTAATGTGCTAAGGAAGGTTTAGGCTCTGTGATATCTCGTTTTATTCGAGTAGAGTTTAGAAACTGAAAAAATAAAAATCTGGTATTTGCACTAAAAAATTGAGGAGCTGGCTTTTTGTCCTCTTTATTTAAAATGACATCAAAAAATCCTGCAGCAGAAGCACGTCCCCAAATGCCGTAGGTTGAATTCTAAGTTCTGGTCAGCTTCCACAATCACTGGGATGAAGGTTGATGAAGATTGGTGCTTGTTCTGAATGTATTCGCTTTCAATCCCTTTTATAATTGAACAGCGCGTCTTACTGTTGTGGAACAGTAATTGTCCTGCATCCTCAGCTTTAGGTGTTTGTTGTCATTGGGGGAAGGGTATATTGACTAGGAACACAGCCCTCCTGGTACACAGCTTCTGCGGTGGTCCAGAGCCTCCTGCTGCTCTAAAGGAAGAATGCCCGAGCCAGGATTGAGAATGACCCGCTCAAAGCTGTTCCACTGTTGGTTTCATCGAGTTCAGTGAAATGCCATGGAAATGTAATTAATGTTGCAGGAAACTGCTGCAGGACAGAAATAGCACCTGCCTTTGAATTAAGCAAACTATATTCATGAAAATACCTTAATAATTTTAGGTAGTTCTACTCTTAATTAACAAAACTGGTAGTGCTGCTCCGATGCATGGATGCAGCTAATTATATTCAATACATAAATGCTGGGTATAAATGTTAAATGAGTAAGAATGACTTGAAGAATTCTGATTTCTGTCATATTTGGTTTGTTTGTAGTTGCTGGGAGACCTTATCTGGTAAAAATGCCTTAGCCGGGGTAGTCATTTCAAGTGTTATCTCTTAGTGAATATCTTTTTTGTTGGTTTGTTTTAGATTAAAAGATTGGAAGACCCGTTTGAGCTACTTCTTGCAAAATTCCTCCTCTCCTGGGAAACCCAAAACCAACAAGAAAAGCAAGCAGCAAACCTTCATCAAGTAAGTTGGATCTTATACTAGCAACTATGAAGTTGCTAGCTGCTAGGCTTTTGAAAAGGGGAACTGTAATGGGCGCAAGCTTATATGCCGACTTCTCTTGCAGGCCTTCTCCTGAGGAAGCACAGCTGTGGTCAGAAGCCTTCGATGAGCTGCTTGCCAGTAAATGTAAGTTAACCTCTTGAATTTGACCCAGGCCAAAGATCTTAGGAGTCTGGGAAGTTTGTGTCCACACGAGAGTAGAGCAGCTTGCCCCAGGAGAATTCTACTTCACAATCACTATCCTCAAGGCTGGCTTTTTTCTCCTTTATTCCTCCATCTTTAACCATGGAAATGCATGGCTTACACACTCAGGTGGGAAAGGAAAGTTAGCCTAAAAAAACTGGTGTGGCAATTGCTCTATGTTAAGGTTGAGTCAGTTTTTCCATTGCACACAGAACTTTCTGGAGGTTTAGTTGCCAGAGAAAGTATGGCAGCCCTCCCTGTAAAGACTGACACTGACAGCACAGGGAAGTATTTATATTTTTGAGGCAATGTGCCAGTGTAAGCATTTTGTAAACTGGCACCTTCATCTTTACAGAGCTGAATTCTGAGGATTACAAGTCTGAGTGAAATCTAGAAAATTGCTACCATTAGCAATAGTAAAACTGGGGGAGTATAGGGAAGTTCAGGGAAAACAGTTAAAGGAACTGTTTGTCCTTCAGCTCTTCACCTCATACTTTCCTCTTCTCCCCTCTCAGATGGTCTTGCTGCATTCAGGGCTTTTTTAAAATCTGAATTCTGTGAAGAAAATATTGAATTCTGGCTGGCCTGTGAAGACTTCAAAAAAACCAAGTCACCACAAAAGCTGTCCTCAAAAGCAAGGAAAATATATACTGACTTCATAGAGAAAGAAGCTCCAAAAGAGGTGAGGGGGAGGGCGGGAGATGTCCCCATGTCAGCAGATTTAAAGCGCTGTTTGCACCAAAAAGAAGCAAAGGCACTGACAGGAAGGCAAATGGGAGGGTGGTGGGGGTAGCAAAATGGTTCCCCCGTCTTCGCAACTCAATTCCTTGTTGTTTTAAGTACTGAATAGAATTCCATCTCTCACTCTGAATATACAATAAACCACTTATTTGTTTTATTTCAGATAAACATAGACTTTCAAACCAAAACCCTGATTGCGCAGAATATCCAAGAGGCTACCAGTGGCTGCTTTACCACAGCCCAGAAGAGGGTGTACAGCCTAATGGAGAACAACTCTTACCCCCGCTTCTTGGAGTCGGAATTCTACCAGGACTTGTGTAAAAAGCCTCAGATCAGCACAGAGCCCCATGCTACATGAGGTGAAAGGGAGTGCCTCACGGATGACATTTCTTGTTTTTCCTAAGGGAGGAAGCCGTGACCCGCCAAAAAGACTGACCTTGAATTCAGCCTGGGTGTTCAGGAAGCATCACTCAGAACTATTGATTCAAACCTGGGTAGTGAATGACAGGAAGCTGCTCGCCGCCTGGGAGAGGCGTGTGTGGAGACAGCCTCCATCGCCGTGCAGGGCACAGGGAGAGAGTGGGCTCTGTGTGACTCTCACACTAGACAAGCTGGAACATGAGACTGAAAGATGCCATGTGATACTGTTGGTCCAAAAGCATTTAAAATCAATAGATCTGGGATTATGTGGCCTTAGCTAGCTGGCTGTCCATTCTCCCTCTGTCAGTCCGTGCTACCAACATAGTGGTTTTAGTTTTAGTTTTGTAGTACTGAGTAACATGAAAATGTTTGCTATGTGTAAGAGTATCGAGGTCCTTAGGACTACATATCAGCAGTACTGTTGTGTCCTGTAACACTAAAACTGCAATGGTCTGTGTTTGAATTGTTCAATGGTGTGTGCTGTTATATAGGAAAGTCCGCTGTCCATGAGGAGTGCCAAAGTGTCTTGAAGGCAGCTAAACTTTGAAGTGGTCTTTGAATACTTTTAATAAATTTATTTTGATAAATAATATCATTGTCTCTTTGGTCCAGAGGTAGATGGGTTTTCTGATTCAGTAATTGGAAATAGGGTCGATACAAGGACAAACATCTTTTCTGGTCAGAAAGAGATAGCATCACTGATATACTTGTTTTGTAGAACTGACAGTCTTCAGAACTGAGAAAAGAGTTGCAAATAAACCAAAGAAAGTCAAGTCACAATCTCAAACCCCCTGTGCGATCAAGCTTCCGAATAGAATCTTGCAAAAACCAAGCTTGAAAGTAATGTAAACAGAAGAATATTTACCAGAAGCCCTTCATTAGAATCTTTTAAAAACAGCTAAATATGAGGAGATACTGTCAATGAGACATAGCACCAGAATTACTCACCTAACTCAGGTTCTCGAATGAAGGAAGACACCTGAGGAAAATGAGCACAAACCTGCCTTTTCATTCCCTTGGTTTCAACTTTCCTCACAGAGTAGTGCCAGGAGCTTCTGAGGTAGTTACCTGAAACTGTTTACTTCCCTGGTGGGTTAATACAAAGTCAGAATGTTCCCAATTCACCTACCTTCCTTTGACCAAGGAAGAATCTGATTCTGTAACTTTAGTTTGTGATAAAGGGAAAAGAAATTGCACCTTTGTTCCCTAGACTTCATCTAGAAATGTGTTTTTATCCTAATTGAGAAAGGAAGACTACTCACATCTGTTATTTTATCAACTGGCTATTAAGAAAGGGATGCTTGGCCCTCCCTGGTGGTGCAGTGGGTTAAGCACAGCACTGCAAGCTAGCCACAGCCACTTCAGTGCCAGTTCGATCCCCCACCTCAGAGATAACCACATCGGGCAGCAGACCTTTCCTGTCTTTCCCACTACTACCCTCAGCAGTGAACTTCGTTGATCTGCCTGTTCTGCTCCCCACTCTGTCTCTGGTGAATCCTCTCGCTGCACCTGCACCTCTGGCCTGTACCCCAGTTCTGTATGCATAAATAAATAAAAATCTTAAAAAAAAAATAAAAGAAAGAAAGGGGTGATGTTCTCCACCCAGCTGCTTTGCAGCCTCCTTGACTATGGTTTCAATTTTTAAAAGAAGGGGAAATTTTTATCTTGGTTTTCTAAAAACCTGAGTCCAATCAGTAATTTCTTACAGCTTTGTGACCTTGGGAGTCCTCATCTTCCCTGGATCCTCAATTTACACCTTCCTGCCTGCCCCTCTGATTCCTATGAGGTAGTAAGGGATAAAGAAATTGCAAAGCACAAAACAAACAAAAACCACCAGCATCTATTATCTGCCAAAAGAAAAAATTGACCTATAGTTTAAACACTATTTTTATTGTGCTTGCACTAATTTTCACCTGCAACAGACTTTCTCATCCCAGGCACAGGCTTCATGAGAGACCTGCCTAGAGACCTTCTATCTCTAGCAGCCTTAATGATACAAATGATGTGCTCCATAGATAGTAATAGAGTAAGTGAATTCCAAAGGGTCACTGAAAGAAATATTTTTTTGGAGAATAAATAAGTCTGCACAAGCCTTAATTTGGAAAGATTTTGACCAACGGAGAAATGCAGAATCATGCCATATATTCAATTTGTCACCAGGTCCTACTTCTTTCGCCTTAAATCTCTATCACTATCCAAGCCCCGTCCCCACCCCCCATCAAACATGACACCATCCGATGACTGGAAAACTGCAAGAGTTTCAACTCATCTCCCCAGACTCACTCTTCACCCCTACAATATGTTCCCTGCTTTTTTTAATGCTAAGGACCCTGGCAAGATAGACACTTAATCTTGTCTCCTGTTACTTATAAAAATGGGGCTGGTTTCCAAGCAATTAGGATAAAGATACTACTCCTGACCTGGTCTAATGTCTGGCAGACTTTCTATCCCAACCTTGCCTCTACATCATGTCCCCAGCAATTTCTGCTGAAAACAATCTACTTGTGTATCCTGTGTGTTACCAAGTCCACTGTCCCACAGGCCCTTTGCAAGTAATCGCCTACACACAGAACATAATTCCTGCTCTTATTCACCACCCAGTGCAGGGGTCACTTCCTCAAAGAAGCTTTTCTGACCTCCTTACCCAGGAGGTCAGAATGCCCGTTTAGAGATTCTTTAGCACCAAGTTCTCTATTTTGGAGTACTCAATAAAATTCTCACTGACCTGTATGACTATTGGACCATACTGTCTTGCCCCATTTTATGTTGCTAGCATGACTTGGTGACTCTTTCTGTTCCTTGCTGAAACACCTAACACCGTACCTGACTGACATCGGGAGTTGTAGAGATCATTGCTGAGTGAATGAATAAGTATTAAAATGCCTGTTTAGCAAGTTTTTGGCAAAACAAGAAGTATCTCCAATGCACAAGGAAATAGGGACAAGGTTTTTTACAAATCCCATTGACTCAACCATCTGAAAATACCTCCAGAGCTTTTTCCCTTAACAAAAAATAAATACTTGTTACTAGGTACATTCTTTATAGCTTATAACCTTTAATAAAAGGAGAAGCTAGGTCACAGTAACAAAAAAAATCGAGTTTTGACTATTTCAGGGCTGCTAAAAAGAACAGGCTTTTTTCAGGTGGTATTTTCCAATGTTCTCTAGTGTGGAACAAATTGAAATAGACTTAAGATTAGAAATGACATGACTGCACAAATAAATATTACTTGATGTTCCAGTTTCCCAAATTGTATACATTCAGGATCCACAGTCTTTTCATTTTGATACTTCATTTTTCATGTATTTTAATTCTAGAAGCATTTTAAAATACAGTAATTTCATATCACCCCTCTGTCAAAAAAAAAATAGAAGAAATAGCATACTACCTGTTACAAGATTCAGTGTGATCTCCCAAAACTTCACAGGAAACAGGTGGGTCAACCGGTTGATTTTAAAACAGTATTTGATTGCTTATAGCAGTTAGTGAAGGAAGAGAATGTCTCCGAATCATGAGCCATGTTACAGATGGAGGTGCTCTGTCATTGGGACAGAGTGGAGACCAGGAGGCGCCCACTCCGTGCCAGACCCTCTCCTATTTCAACTTTGTTTTCCTACGTCAGCCCAGAGTCTCAGCTAAAGGAGAAATCAATCTGACTACCGAGTGTCAGTGCTACTCAGAGGCAATCTTGGACAGGTACAGTGAGTCTCAGGGTGTGACTTGGATGCCTTTTGACAACATTAGAGAACCACTCATGTGTTTTGTCAACAGGATGGTTTTTATTTATTTTGGGACATCCTAGCTAAGAGTAGCTTGGAATTTCTTGAGGTAAGGATAACGACCCAGAAGGGGTTCTCTTGGGACCTGAAATTCAAAAGACTCAGCAGCTGCAGTAAGAACATTCTAGCTTAGGGCAATCGCACTGAACAAAAGCTGGATACTAACCATTTGGGCAGGACCTCATAACACTCTACATGGCAGATAACCAGACGTGAGATTTATCCAGACATGAGATAGGAAGCCCTAAATACTAAAGATCAGGATGTTATTCTGAGACTGTAACAATGGCAACTAAAATATAAGTAAATATCTTGGAAAGCAACGTGAGCAAGAATTGGAAACAGGGCAATGGGTTAGTGGGTGACGAGAAATACCATGTGCCTAAACCAGCAGTGCCACTTAATAATTCAGTGTCATGTAACAGCAACTTCTACACTCTCTACTCTGCCCAACACTGACCTAACATACAGGGGAATATATGCAAAGGCATTTAACATAGTTTGCTTCCAAGATGCCACAGGACCTAAAAATAATGTACAAAGATGAAAACATAAGGTGGGCTGTGATTGGTGATTCATTATCAAAAGAGAAGTAAGAATAACTTTAGCTGGAATGAATCAAGAAGCACTCAACAAGAAGTGGAGTTTATATGAGATTTAAAGAATAGATAAAATTCAGGTGGAGAAACAATTAAATAGAGAAAGAAAAAAATAGGTCTTACATTGTGAGGTGATCATTTTAAGATGTTTTAAGTGGGGATGTAGAGTTGAAAGCCATTTCATTGATTCATTATTTTGCAAAACAGGAACTATTTATCTGAGCAAGGAGGGGAAAAAAGAGTAGATGAGTTGAGAAGAAAAGAATCAGAAAGACAGAAAGCTCAAAATCACAACAACATGCTACTCTTGACTATTCTTAAAAATAACTTTCAAAAAAATGAGTAAATAAGCAAATACGTTTTGATCAGGTCATCAAGCTCTATCAATTCTTGCCCAATACCGCAGGGACATCTGTTCTCTCCCTACAGTCAAGCACACACACACCACTGTCATCATCCTCCCAAGCAGGTCTCAACAAGTCTCAGATCCTGGGTCTTGCTTCTCACTTGTCTCAGATGGCCATCTGATGTTGACTTTCTCACATCACATGAAGTGACAGGGATGAGTTCATTGAAATTTGCTAAACACATATATTAAGCATATATACATGTAGGGGTCTACATGCAAAGGTTTTCATTTTATCTCTACATTTTTTGCTCTGGAAATTTAGAAATAAAACTAAACTAAATGTGGACCTTGGATAAGGTCTTACTTAACATTAGGTTTTCTTGAATCCCAAGTTAAGATGATATTTATAGGTTTTAAAATGTGCACAGAACTATCTGGAAACTTCCTTTAGGAGTGAAACTGTGTTTATTTAGCTGCTGTTTCTTACACATGTACAAACGTCACACTAAAATCAAAATAATAACAAAGAGATATGAGCCAAAAATGAAAATGAGAAGGAAGTATTTGCCAGCTGCCCGCTTTTAGAGTGAGAAGCAAGGAAGAAAGCTGATTTTCTCTAATGCATTTGCAACTTCCAATCTATAGGTCTATTTTCACTTGTATCCCAAATTATTCTTTTGGTCTTTAGCTTTGGAATGTAACCACACGTTATCCACAATATGTGAATTTTGAAACTGCAGTATTGAAAGAATTAAGAAAAGCATGCAGGTTACATGAGCAGTGATATAATCTGTGAGAGGGCAGATATAAAATCTCCTTTTAAAAAGCCAGCTGGTGGTCCTTAGCAGGCCTCTGCC